ACCATATGAGAATGCTACTTGTCATGTCCTGTTTCTTTTACTCTGCTGACTAAGCTAGTTGTAATGTCTGCAAAGGTTCATTATGAAACAGGCTTTGGGAGCTTTGGTTTTAGCTGTACTTTTTAGTTTAGCACGAGTCCCTTGAAAGTGGCCACAGCTGACAACAGATAAGTTTGGTGGTGGACTCCTCCTCTTCCTCTGTGTTTCTGGATCCACACCACCAAAGCACCTTTAACTGCCACTTTCATTTCTTTTCTACACATAAGAATTAAATTGTAAAATTTATGTTATCGAAAGGCAAAGCATCAGTTGTTACATTTAACTCCTCTTAAGCAGCTATTTGCACTTGGCCTAGTCTCATATTAGCGGCCTTAACAAACAAAGTCTTATTCTACTTTTCCAGGCTACTGCTTATAGCTTAATTGCAAGTTTATTAATTATTGCGTGTGTATCCCCATAAGCACATACTATTAATAGAATAGCCAGTTCAAACCCAGACATAGTAGGGATTACAGAAACGTGGGGGGATTCATCCCACGACTGGGCAGTTAGCATTGGGGGCTATAGGCTCTACAGGCGGGGGAGAGAAGGAAGGAAGGGAGGGGGTGTGGCGCTCTGTCAAAGAGCAATACACATCCTCTGCCAGCAAAATGGGGTCAGAGGAGGGGCAAGCTGAAGTGCTCTGGGTCAAGATACAAGGGGGTCATGGGGAAAGGGATTTAACGGTGGGGGTCTACTACAGACCCCCCAACCAAGGGGAGGAGCTGGACCGGGAATTTTTGGGCCAGCTTGCAGAGGCACTTAAGGCAAGGGATGTAGTTGTCATGGGTGATCTAAATTACCCGGACATCTGCTGGGAGGAGCAGTCAGCCAGGTCGGACCGTTCCAGGAGGTTCCTGGCCAAGATACAGGACCTCCACTTAACCCAGGAGGTGCACAGTCCCACCAGAGGAAATGCCCTGTTGGACCTGGTCCTGGCCACAGGCGATGATCCTGGCCACAGGCGATGATCTGGCCAGGGGGCTTCAGGTCCTTGACCACCTGGGTGACAGCGATCATCGCTTGCTGGAATTCATCATCCAGCACAGGGTGACAAGAGCCTGCAGCAAGGCGGTAGCCCTAGACTTCAAGAGGGCCAACTTCAAAGAGTTGAGGAGATTGGTGGGAGAGGCGCTGGGGTTCTCGAGGGCAGGGGAACTCAGTGCCCAAGATGAGTGGTCGTTCCTTAAGGAGACGATACTCAGGGCCCAAG